GCGGCGGAGGAGAAGGCGGGCTCCAGGCAGCGACTCCAAGTGAAGGTGAGACTCGCTTTCGGGTGTTTTGTGCGGAGTCTGTGCCTCGGGGACCGGAGGGGCTCGGGGACCGGGCGCCCCGCACTTCCACTCCCCGCGAACGACTTCCCTCCGCCGGGCAGCGTGTGGGCTCCACGGGCTTCCCCAGGTTTCCTTCAGAACGGAAGCCGACCCCTGCTCTGGTCTTTTAGGGAGCCCAGGCCTTCGGGGCAGAGGAAGGTTCCTTTGAACCCCAGGAAGAGTGGAGGGTGGGGTCAGGGACTGCACATCTGCCTTTGCAGCAGCTGTTGTCAGCTTCTCCTCTGGGAACAGTTCCAGCTACTCGGGCGCTGACAGCTCAGCTCGGGGATCCGTCTCAGTTACAAGTTACAGTCATGACGGTATCATCATTGGGCTGGTGGACTCATATGGGCAAGAAATGTGTCCAGTGTAATAAATAATTTGGGTTAATACATTTGGTGTCTAGATTCTGGATGGGAGAAGATATAGATTATCAATTTGGATTTATGTTGTCATTATGAAATAGGAATTAGACTTGTTTGCACTGATCTGTAAGCAAAGGTGCAGGACCTGGGATTCTGAAACTCTCTTTTTCCTTATTGGTCTGAATAGGTGCATGAATATAAAGAAAACCAGGACGTCACTGACCTATCTCAGAGACTAGTTTTAGAAAAAACAGCTAAGGTGTGTCTTGTCCCCTTTTCACTCAGTGATTACAAGCCAAATGCATTTAAGCTCCCCAAGTCCCTCTTAGATAAGAATTCTAACAATGAAGCGGCATGTAAGACATATAAGAAGACCGAAATAAAGAAAACTTTCAGGGAGGTTTTAACTCCGAAGATGAAAGCCACCACATCTTCTGAGACAGAATCCACTCTGCAAAAATCATCCTTGGACGTTCACACAGAAAATCACAGACAACACATGAGCACGTCGGACACAGGGCTTCTCAGTGTCGAGATGGAAGATAGTCAGGATGGAGACAGCGATGAAGATACATCAGGCCTGGTAAGACTTTAATTACTGTTTACCCACAATTTTCTTATTTTAAAAATACAAGTTCTGATAATCACCATCAATTGGTTGCATTGATGGGCTGAATAATATTTCCTTTAAACACAAAACGGAGACAAATGATGGAGTAGAGAAGATAAATGAGAAAGTGTATTAGTTCTATTTAAAATAATAGTTTGAATCAGCTTAAGAAATTAGGCATCTAATTCTTTTGACTTCTATTGCCTCCCAGGAGTGCTGTACTTCATTTAAAGTGACATTTTCTGATTGTTCATTTCTAGTGTATACAAATACAACCGATTTTTGTATATTGATCTTATATCTTGCAACTTTGCTGAGGCCATTTATTCTAATATTTTTTCGTGTGGATTCTTTTTTTTTTAATATATATTTTATTGAGTTTTTACCGAGAGCAAGGGAGAGGGACAGAGAGTTAGAAGCATCGATGAGAGAGAAACACCGATCAGCTGCCTCCTGCACACCCCCTACTGGGGATGTGCCGGCAACCCAGGTACATGCACTTGACCAGAATCGAACCTGGGACCCTTCAGTCCACAGGCCAACGCGCTATCCACTGAGCCAAACCGGTTAGGGCTCGTGTGGATTCTTTTTTTTTTTAATTGCTTAAAGTATTACAAAGAGTATTACATATGTGTCCTCGTGTGGATTCTTGAGGATTTTCTATATATATAAGATCATGTCCTCTGCATTAAAGATAGTTTTATTTCTTCCTTTCCAACCTGGATGTCTTTTATTTCTTTTACTTCTTTATTTTTTTTACCTGAATGTCCAGGCTAGAAATTTTATGCAAGATAAGATAAAACTACACCACATAACAAAAAATTGATGGAAGTAGGAGAACAGAAAGTGATGCTAGGGAAAGGGAGATAGGATGATTCAGGTGTTTTTATGAAATAAGAATGCAATTTATACTTTATTGTCTCAGAGGTAAGAACTAGGACCTGTGGTGGGACAGCGTGGGGTAGATCATCAGTACATTGGACTGGGGGTTGGAAGCCTCAGGTTTAGGTATGGCCACTTCTAAGAAACCATGTGGTTTTAAACAAATCATCTCTGTGTGGAGTGGATTATTTAAGATCCGTGGTTCTCAAAGTTCTAGCCTGTAGTAAAATTACCGGGAGGGCTTGTTAAAACTTGGTTGCAGGGTTCCACCACCAAAGTTTTGTATTAAAATTTTTTAAAAAATTGATTTTAGAGATAAGAAGAGAGGGAGGGAGGGAGAGAGAAAAATGGAGAAACATCGATTTGTTGTTCCACTTATTACCACTTGACTTGATATCAGGCCACTTGTTATTTAATTGGGAAGCCATACAGATATCTGTGATCATCCCACATTCAAACGCTGTTACTCAGTATCTAATAAAGCAGAGTTTGCGTGTTATTCAATAAGACATTAAATGAATAGAATAGGTGCACTTTAAAGGAAAGTATACATGCAGAGAATTGAACACCTGGTTTGGGGAGGTGCTTTTGCTATGGATTATGTAAACTAACAGAATCTTTTTGGTGTAATTCATAGGATGATTTTTCAGGATTGTCACCATATGAAAGGAAGAGACTAAAGAACATATCAGAAAATGCAAACTTTTTTGCTTCACTTCACTTGTCTGAGGTTTGTCTAATTAAAACCAAGATACCTTTCCTCTTGCCAGTAAGTCAGTAAAATATTCATGTATCGGGTTTCATCGTGTCAGGTGAGGGACAGCAAATTAGGAGCAAGTTTTGCACTTAATAGAAAGAGGTTACCATACTTTATTAATTCCAAGACTTTTCTTTAATTTTAATATTTTCGAAATAAGCATCTTAAAACTGTAACTGGCACCTCCTCCCCTCTCTCCTCTAATGATACATAAAGTAATGATAGCTTATGAAAAGTTGTCTTGGAGTCAAAGAAGCAGGGTATGTTTTAGTGGTTTTTTTTTAATGGATAAAGGAGAAGGAGGAATGAGTTGAAGGATGTGTGGTAGATGAAGGAGAAGACAAGCTTTTTTAAAATATAAATCTTAGATTGTAATGATAGATGGGAATAAGACTTGTGTAGGGAGTGTTAAGGATAAATGGGTAGATCTATACTAATATTTTATAATCATTATAATTAAATCTATAATTTACATGGTGTCTTTACACTGGGCAGTAAACTTCTGTGTGTGAGAGAATAACTGTTTAGGAGGATGTGTGATGTTTTCCCAAAAATAATAAATTGAATTCTCCAAATACCAGATTCCCAAATATTCAGTATGTGTTTGCATCTTGAGGGGAGGGTAAGTTAATATAATTTTATATAACTAAATTATATACGTGGGTCATTAATGACAGTTCATGAGAAATTTAGACAGACTATCTCTAATTTTGATTTTTGTTAACAGAAATTATGATTTGATTTATTACATAAATATAACATAACTTTTCTAGAAAATATCAAATATGGTTGCCTTAGTGGAAGTTAAACCTTTTGATTTGTAATAGTATATTTGATTAAATGTTTAATGTTTAATCCTGTAAACTCATTAGCAACTTGGTTTAAGGCATCAGAATGTCAGTACTTTAGACAGTATTAGATATTTGCTTTTGTTATTATCATTTTATTTATTTATTTTTAAAATATATTTTATTGATTTTTTACAGAGAGGAAGGGAGAGAGATAGAGAGTTAGAAACATCGATTGCAACCCAGTCATGTACCCTGACAGGGAATCGAACTTGACCTCCTGGTTTCATAAGTTGACACTCAACCACTGAGCCACACTGGCTAGGCTGCTTTTATTATTGATTAGAGGCCCAGTGCATGAAATTCATGCACTGGTGGTGGTGGTGGGGGGTGTCCCTTAGCCTGCTTGTGCCCTCTCACAGTCCAGGAGCCCTCTGGGGATGTCTGACTGACGGGTCATCCTTAGCATTGCCTTGGAGGTGGAAGAGGCTCCTGTCACCGCTGCTGCCCTCGCCAGCCGTGTGCCCGGCTTTTGGCTGGGCGGCACTCCCCCTGTGGGAGCGCACTGACCACCAGGGGAAAGCTCCTTTGTTGAGCGTATGCCTCCTGGTGGTCAGTGCGCATCATAGCGACCGGTGGTTCCTCCATTTGGTTGATTTGCATATTAGCCTTTTATTATATAGGGTAGAATAATTATCTCAGGTCTACTACCAAGAGTGGGTATCATTTTAAGGATCTTTATTTCCCGTATAGATCTTAGTTTATGTGGATATAGTGGCAGATACTTAATATTTTAAAAGGTAAGCTGTGTAGTTATAAGCTATTATTTTCATGTGTATATACTTTGTATATTTTGCAGTCAGCTGCAAGGCTCCGTGAAATGATAAAGAAGAGACAGCCTTCTGAATCCAGAAGGTAAAAGATACGAATTGCAGTGTCTGCTCCATGATATATTGCTGAGTTGTTTTATAATTTGAAAAAATGATCCAGCATAGTAAAATAAGTAAGATCAGAAACTCTGTAATTTAATCTTAATCCTTATAGTATTTCTGAGAGAATGCTACTTTTTAACCCCTTCCCCAACAATTTTTTTGTTAAAAACGTTTCTTTTTCAGACTAATTTTTTTATTTTGGTTCTATATAGTATTTTTGATGCTGGTTATGAAAACAGTTTGTAACTCGTCTTCCTATAAACCATATTTTTTTACCATATTTTCTTAGTATACTCGTCGACGACTGAAAAAGAACATTTTGTGAAAACGTGTATACACGTTTCTGCCGGGGAAGGGGTTAATAACTAAAGTTCTCATCCTCATCAAAGGAATATAGAGGAAATTGAATCTTGAAAGCTGAATTTTATTTCTATTTAATACTGTTGCTGTTAATGGAGGGAAATCTTTTTTTTTTTTTTTAAATATTTTATTGATTTTTTACAGAGAGGAAGGGAGAGAGATAGAGAGTTAGAAACATCGATGAGAGAGAAACATCGATCAGCTGCCTCCTGCACATCTCCCACTGGGGATGTGTCCGCAACCCAGGTACATGCCCTTGGCCGGAATCGAACCCGGGACCTCTCAGTCCGCAGGCCGACGCTCTATCCACTGAGCCAAACCGGCTTCGGCAATGGAGGGAAATCTTTACTTTCACTAAATTATTCTTATTTTTGCCTAGAAAACTATTATTCTTTTTTTCCCCTTTTTAATATAATTTATTGGGGTAAGAACGGTTAATAAAATTACATATATCTCAGGTATACAATTCTATGACACATCATCGTATATTGTATTTTGTGTTTACCACCCCATGTCAAGTCACCTTCCATTACCATTTATCCCCCTTGTACACTCTTCTACTTCCTCTCACTGAAAACTGTTATTCTTAAAGATTCTTCTACTTTTAACTTTTCTGGCTTTTTGTTTCTCAATTTGTTTTCTTTTACATTACTAGAATAAAGGAAGGAAATGAACATTTATTGAACATCTATAAAATACAGTGCAGTGACCTAAAATTTTTGTCCTATTTTATCTCATTTAATTCTCTGTGTGTGTGTGTGTGTGTGTGTGTGTGTGTGTGTATTTTATTAGAGAGAGGAAGGGAGAGGAAGAGAGAGATAGAAACATCAATGATGAGAATCATTGATTGATTGGCTGCCTCCTGCAGGCTCCACACTGGGGATCCAGCCTGCAACCTGGGCATGTGCCCTTGACTGGAATTGAACGTGGACCTTTCAGTCTACAGGCTAATGCTCTATCCACTGAGCCAAACCAGCTAGGGCTTTATCTCATTTAATTCTGATAACAACCAAATGTTGGAGGTAATATATCTATTTTGTGAAATAGAGAACAGGCTCAAAGAGGTAAAGTAATTTGCTTAAGGTCAAAATAGCTCAGAAGTGGAAGTTTTAGGATCTGAGCTCCAGGCTTCCTTAGCTTAAGTTCTATGTACTGCATTTTAGCAGTGCTTATGTATAAATGAAGAATCTAAAAATCTTGGTATCTTTAGATCATTTGTTTAATGCTAATGGTAATGAAATATAGCATCACTTTAATTGGTTTGATTTTTTTAAAACATTGATTTTAGAGAGGAGGAGGGTAGAGAGAGAGAGAGAGAGAAAAATCAATTTGTTGTTCCACCTATTGGTTGCTTCTTGTATGTGCCCTGACCGAGGATCCAACCCATAACCTTGGCATATCAGAACGATGCTCTAACCCAGTGGTCGGCAAACTCATTAGTCAACAGAGCCAAATATCAACAGTACAACGATTGAAATTTCTTTTGAGAGCCAAATTTTTTAAACTTAAACTATATAGGTAGGTACATTGTCATTAACTTAATTAGGGTACTCCTAAGGCTTAGGAAGAGCCACTCTCAAGGGTCCAAAGAGCCGCATGTGGCTCACGAGCCGCAGTTTGCCGACCATGGGTCTAACCAACTGAGCTGCCGGGCCAGGGTCTTGGTTTGATTCTAATACAGGTGAATTAACTTCAGGAAAGCTAAACTTAATTATGGCCATATATTTGCAAGTGTGTAATGTTAGAAAAGGAAAGTTATTAACCCTGCAAAGAAGTAGCACTGGTTATGTTGCCAGCTGATTAATAGCTTTACGTTTGCATATTTTTTATTAGTAAAGATTGGTGATTTGTTCCCAAATTCGTTCTTAGGCAACTTTATTGTTGTGTGAACATCATAGAGAGCACTTTTGCAAACCTAAGTGGTATAGCCTACTACTGTAATTATGTCTGTTATACGTTTATACCATAGTAGGTTTGTTTACAGAAGCACTATCACAAATCCATAATCTATGTATATAAAAGCTTAAGCGACCCTTGCAACTGAATGACCGGAATGACCAGTCACTATGACACACTCTGACCACCAGGGGGCAGACACTCAACAGCCAACCTCCTGTGGCTGGCCAACCGCCTGCAGTTCCTCCTTCCCAGCCCTCCCCCCAGCCAGCCGGCCGATTGGCCCATCGCCTGTGGTGGCGGCATGGCAGCGAGGGAAGGAGGAGGAGGGGGGTTGGGGAACTGCATGGTGGCGGGATGTCAATGATGTCTGGCGTCCGTTCCTTCTGTGCCCAGCCAGGCGACTGTTGCCTTCTCTCCTGACCCCACCGGGGCCTTTGTGCCCTGGGCTGGGACAGGGAACCGGGGGTAGGTGGCGGTAGATGCGGCCCCTTTCCCAGAGGGGCCAAGGGCTGGCTCCCTCCTTGGTGCCAGCAGCCAACCTCCTGCGCCCTGTCCCTCCCCCCGGCCAGCAGGCCCCAATCAGCCCACTGCAGTGGCAGTGCGGTGGTGAGGAGGGGGCGTGGCGGGGAACCGAGTAGGTGTCTGGTGCCAGGCCTAGGGACCCCCACCATGAATCCGTGCACTGGGCCTCTAGTTGTAGTATAAAGCCCTGATGTGGGCTTTTTTTTTTTTTTAAATGCAAGTGCCTGACTGAGGCATGCATTTCAAAGAGACATGCATTTCACAGAGGCATCTGGCTTCAAGGATGGCTAACTAGAATAAATACATTGCCAGCCGCTAGATAAAGAGCCAGGCCGCCTCCCCATACTTAGAGATCGTGGTTGATTATGACAACTAACCATTTGGGCTACTTGGTTTTGGTTTGTTTTTCTTTTTCTTTTCTAGTGCTTTACATTCCCACTCTTATGTTTTAAATTCACCAATAAAGAGTGAGGCCCCGTGAGCCAGCAGGGGTCAATGGGGAGAAAAAAAGGGACATGTGTAATACTTTTGACAATAAAGATTTAAAAGAAAACAGAGTGAGCCTGTAAAACCCTATAGTGAGCCCTGGTCAGTGTGTCTCAGTGGTTAGAGCATTGGCCTGTGTACCGAAGGGAAACCAGTTCCATTCCTGGTCAAGGGCACGTACCTGGATTGCAGGTTTGTACCCCAGCTCCGGCTGGGGCATGTGCGGGGGGCAGCTGGGTTGTAGGTTTGCTCCTTGATGTATGGGAGGCAACCAACCAATGTCTCTCTCACATTGAGGTTTTTTTCTCTCCCCCTCACTCTCCTCCCTCTCCCTTTCCTTGTCCCCTCCCCCTCCTTCTCCCTCTCCTCCTTCCCCTCCCTTTCCCTCTCCCCCTCCACCCTTCCACTATCTAAAAGCAATGGAAAAATATCCTCTGGTGAGGAAAAAACCCCAAAATCCTCTGGTGAAACCCTAGACTCCCATCCTCGACCCAATAAAAGCAGAAGCTTAGGCTCTTGCTTTCTGTCTATCCTTGATCTGCTGTATGCTCCCTGGCATTCCTTGTAGGTTCCAGGGCCTGTAAATAATAAACTCTTCTTTTCTCTTTAAAGTTTCCTAATGGTTATTGCTAAAGGGCATCTTGCAATCACTGTAAGAGGAGGCCCAGTTGTAACGTGGGTTTAGAAAGGGGAGATGTCTGGGAAACTCCCTGGGGTCCAGGTGAGTGCCCCCGGCATTTCTAGTTGATAGCAATCAATAGACTGGAGAGGCCCACAACGGTAATGCCTTGTGCTCAATGTTATGACTGCTACAAGGTCACTAGGCTAGGCAATAGGAATTTTTCATTTTCATTATAATCTTATGGGACCACGGTGGTATATGTATCCCATTGTTGACCAAAACATGGCAAAGCAGTGCATGACTTTATAGGTATTAGTATCAAGTTGGGAGAGTGGAAATTATATAATTTAAAGGAAAGAGCATACCTTTTGGAATTTGGCAAACTTGATTTCAAATTTTGATTCTGCAACTTATAGCTGTGGTACTAACTTTGGACAGTTTCCATAATTTTTCTTTCTTTTTCTGTAAAGCTGATGTTTTGACAATCCAGAGGGGTTTAAAAAAAAATTTAAATATACATACAAAAGAAGCACATATAAAATATTTGTATAGTTGAGAAAGTAATAGTAATACAAGCAGCCACTCATGTACCTGCCATCCAGGCTAATAGAAATTACAGTGCCTTTGAAGGCCCATATATACACCTTCCTTCAGATATAACTATTATGCTGAATTTTGGGATAATCATTTCTTGAGTTTATTTATAGTTTTACTG